AGCCCGCGACCCCTTCGCTCTGAATCCCACCCCGGTCGAGTCTAATCCCACCCTGGTCAAATACCTACAGTATATGCACTCTCCGTACGATATGGCGATGGTCCGGGCATCGACCGTCTTCGGAGGACGTGCAAATTAATTCTAGATTTGAAGCTTTCGTGACTGCAAGGATTCATACTCTTACACGTAGGTAAAAAATAATATAAATAATAATAGAAATAATAATAGAAATCAAATAATAAATCACGATCCCACCTGATGACGGAGACTTGTGTTGCCTCCGAAACGTCGTGATTTATTATTTTATTTCTATTATAATTTATATTATTTTATTATTATTTTTTACCTACGTGACTTTACCGAAACAACCTAAGAGTATGTGCAAATTAATGGAAACCGGAAGCCATAGGAATGAATAAGAAACCGGATGCCATAAGAATGAATAAGAAACCGGATGCCATAAGAATGAATAAGAAACCGGATGCCATAGGAATGAATGGAAAAACCGGACGCCATAGGAATGAATGGAAATACCGGATGCCATAGGAATGAATGAAAAACCGGATGCCATAGGAATGAATAAGAAACCGGATGCCATAGGAATGAATGGAAAAACCGGATGCCATAGGAATCAATGGAAAAACCGGATGCCATAGGAATGAATGAAAAACCGGATGCCATAGGAATGAATGAAAAACCGGACGCCATAGGAATGAATGGGAAACCGGAAGTCATAGGAATGAAAGACCGGATGCCATATGAATGAATGAAAAACCGGACGCCACAGGAATGAATGGAAAACCGGACGCCATAGGAATGAATGGAAAACCGGAAGTCATAGGAATGAATGGAAACCGGAAGTCATAGGAATGAATGAAAAACCGGATGCCATAGGAATGAATGGGAAACCGGATGCAATAGGAATGAATTGAAAACCGAAAGTCATAGGAATGAATGGGAACCGGAAGTCATAGGAATGAATGAAAAACCGGACGCCATAGGAATGAATGGGAAAACCGGAAGTCAAAGGAATGAATGAAAAACCGGAAGTCATAGGAATGAATGAAAAACCGGATGCCATAGGAATGAATGGCCGGATGCCATAAGAATGAATGAAAGACCCGGAAGCCATAGGAATGAATGAAAGACCCGGAAGCCATAGGAATGAATGGAAAACCGGAAGTCATAGGAATGAATGGAAAACCGGAAGTCATAGGAATGAATGAAAAACCGGAAGCCATAGGAATGAATGGAAAAACCGGTTGCCATAGGAATGAATGAAAAACCGGACGCTATAGGAATGAATGAAAAACCGGATGCCATAGGAATGAATTAAAGACCCGGAAGCCATAGGAATGAATGTAAAACCGGATGCCATAGAAATGAATGAAAAACATGATGCCATAAGAATGAATGAAAAACCGGACGCCATAGGAATGAATGGGAAACCGGAAGTCATAGGAATGAAAGACAGGATGCCATATGAATGAATGAAAAACCGGACGCCATAGGAATGAATGGAAAACCGGACGCCATAGGAATGAATGGAAAAACCAGAAGTCATAGGAATTAATGAAAAACCGGATGCCATAGGAATGAATGATAGACTCGGAAGCCATAGGAATGAATGAAAGACCCGGAAGCCATAGGAATGAATGGAAAACCGGAAGTCATAGGAATGAATGGAAAACCGAAAGTCATAGGAATGAATGAAAAACCGGAAGCCATAGGAATGAATGGAAAAACTGGTTGCCATAGGAATGAATGAAAAACCGGACGCTATAGAAATGAATGAAAAACCGGATGCCATAGGAATGAATTAAAGACCCGGAAGCCATAGGAATGAATGTAAAACCGGACGCCATAGAAATGAATGAAAAACATGATGCCATAAGAATGAATGAAAAACCGGACGCCATAGGAATGAATGGGAAACCGGAAGTCATAGGAATGAAAGACAGGATGCCATATGAATGAATGAAAAACCGGACGCCATAGGAATGAATGGAAAACCGGACGCCATAGGAATGAATGGAAAAACCAGAAGTCATAGGAATTAATGAAAAACCGGATGCCATAGGAATGAATGATAGACTCGGAAGCCATAGGAATGAATGAAAGACCCGGAAGCCATAGGAATGAATGGAAAACCGGAAGTCATAGGAATGAATGGAAACCGGAAGTCATAGGAATGAATGAAAAACCGGATGCCATAGGAATGAATGGGAAACCGGATGCAATAGGAATGAATTGAAAACCGAAAGTCATAGGAATGAATGAAAAACCGGAAGTCATAGGAATGAATGAAAAACTGGATGCCATAGGAATGAATACCCGGACGCCATAGGAATGAATGGGAAAACCGGAAGTCATAGGAATGAATGAAAAACCGGAAGTCATAGGAATGAATGAAAAACCGAATGCCATAGGAATGAATGGCCTGATGCCATAGGAATGAATGAAAGACCCGGAAGCCATAGGAATGAATGAAAGACCCGGAAGCCATAGGAATGAATGGAAAACCGGAAGTCATAGGAATGAATGGAAAACCGGAAGTCTTAGGAATGAATGAAAAACCGGAAGCCATAGGAATGAATGGAAAAACCGGTTGCCATAGGAATGAATGAAAAACCGGACGCTATAGGAATGAATGAAAAACCGGATGCCATAGGAATGAATGAAAGACCCAGAAGCCATAGGAATGAATGGAAACCGGAAGTCATAGGAATGAATGGAAAAACCGGTTGCCATAGGAATGAATGGAAAACCGGATGTCATAGGAATGAATGAAAAACCGGATGCCATAGGAATGAATTAAAGACCCGGAAGCCATAGGAATGAATGTAAAACCGGACGCCATAGAAATGAATGAAACACCCGGATGCCGTAGGAATGAATAAAAAAACAGGATGCCATAGGAATGAATGAAAACCCGGACGCCATAGGAATGAATGGAAAACCAGATGCCATAGGAATGAATAAAAAACCGGATGCCATATGAATGAATGAATGAATGAAAGACCCGGAAGCCATAGGAATGAATGTGAAACCGGACGCCATAGAAATGAATGAAAAATAGGATGCCATAAGAATGAATGTAAAACCGGACGCCATAGAAATGAATGAAACACCCGGATGCCGTAGGAATGAATAAAAAAACAGGATGCCATAGGAATGAATGAAAAACCGGAAGTCATAGGAATGAATGAAAAACCGGATGCCATAGGAATGAATGGCCGGATGCCATAAGAATGAATAAAGACCCGGAAGCCATAGGAATGAATGAAAGACCCGGAAGCCATAGGAATGAATGGAAAACCGGAAGTCATAGGAATGAATGGAAAACCGGAAGTCATAGGAATGAATGAAAAACCGGAAGCCATAGGAATGAATGGAAAAACCGGTTGCCATAGGAATGAATGAAAAACCGGATGCTATAGGAATGAATGAAAAACCGGATGCCATAGGAATGAATTAAAGACCCGGAAGCCATAGGAATGAATGTAAAACCGGATGCCATAGAAATGAATGAAAAACATGATGCCATAAGAATGAATGAAAAACCGGACGCCATAGGAATGAATGGGAAACCGGAAGTCATAGGAATGAAAGACAGGATGCCATATGAATGAATGAAAAACCGGACGCCATAGGAATGAATGGAAAACCGGACGCCATAGGAATGAATGGAAAAACCAGAAGTCATAGGAATTAATGAAAAACCGGATGCCATAGGAATGAATGATAGACTCGGAAGCCATAGGAATGAATGAAAGACCCGGAAGCCATAGGAATGAATGGAAAACCGGAAGTCATAGGAATGAATGGAAACCAGAAGTCATAGGAATGAATGAAAAACCGGATGCCATAGGAATGAATGGGAAACCGGATGCAATAGGAATGAATTGAAAACCGAAAGTCATAGGAATGAATGAAAAACCGGAAGTCATAGGAATGAATGAAAAACTGGATGCCATAGGAATGAATACCCGGACGCCATAGGAATGAATGGGAAAACCGGAAGTCATAGGAATGAATGAAAAACCGGAAGTCATAGGAATGAATGAAAAACCGGATGCCATAGGAATGAATGGCCGGATGCCATAGGAATGAATTAAAGACCCGGAAGCCATAGGAATGAATGAAAGACCCGGAAGCCATAGGAATGAATGGAAACCGGAAGTCATAGGAATGAATGGAAAACCGGAAGTCATAGGAATGAATGGAAAAACCGGTTGCCATAGGAATGAATGGAAAACCGGATGTCATAGGAATGAATGAAAAACCGGATGCCATAGGAATGAATTAAAGACCCGGAAGCCATAGGAATGAATGTAAAACCGGACGCCATAGAAATGAATGAAACACACGGATGCCGTAGGAATGAATAAAAAAACAGGATGCCATAGGAATGAATGAAAACCCGGACGCCATAGGAATGAATGGAAAACCAGATGCCATAGGAATGAATAAAAAACCGGATGCCATATGAATGAATGAATGAAAGACCCGGAAGCCATAGGAATGAATGTAAAACCGGACGCCATAGAAATGAATGAAAAATAGGATGCCATAAGAATGAATGTAAAACCGGACGCCATAGAAATGAATGAAACACCCGGATGCCGTAGGAATGAATAAAAAAACAGGATGCCATAGGAATGAATGAAAACCCGGACGCCATAGGAATGAATGGAAAACCGGATGCCATAGGAATGAATAAAAAACCGGATGCCATATGAATGAATGAATGAAAGACCCGGAAGCCATAGGAATGAATGTAAAACCGGACGCCATAGAAATGAATGAAAAATAGGATGCCATAGGAATGAATGAAAAACCGGATGCCATAGGAATGATGAATGAAAAACCGGATGCCATAGGAATGAATGAAAAACCGGACGCCATAGGAATGAATGGGAACCGGATCCAGCGCTCGGGACGGGAACCGGATCCCGCGACCTTTCCCGCCGTCAGGATGTAAGTAACTGTCCGCTGCGCACTGTACAACGGGACGCGTCACATCGTCACATTAGTACAAGTTTACCGACGCGCCACGGTGAAGTAAACAACCTCGTCAAGGAAGAACACAAAACCGACAACATTGCCGCTGTTTCTGAGCCAATCGCGTTGTGTTTAAGTTTAAAATATCCGAAGGCCTGGTTGGCGCACTGTACCGCAAAGGCACTGTACGTGAATGTTGTACTGTACACTGTACCGGGTTTATCTTTAGTGATTTTTATATTTATATTTATATCTCCAGGACATGTGTGGACCTCCAGGGTGTGTATATTGTGTGCGGAGTCGTTTCTTAAGTGAACTTTATGGAGCGGTGGCACGTGTGGTTTTTAAATCATCCAGTCTTGAAGCTTTCGTGACTGCAAGGAATCATATTCTTAGGTGTTTTCGGTAAAGTCACGTAGGTAAAACATCAAAATTAATAAAATAAAATAAAGATCACGACGTTTCGGAGGCAACACGAGTCTCCGTCATCACTTGATGCAGCTGATCTGGCTGTGACTGTCCCACCTGATGACGGAGACTTGTGTTGCCTCCGAAACGTCGTGATCTTTATTTTATTTTATTATTTTTTATTAATTTTGATGTTTTACCTACGTGACTTTACCGAAAACACCTAAGAATATAAATCATCCAGTGATTGTACAGGCTGGTCCAGATGTCTTGTGACCCCCCCCCCCCACCCCCAATTAAACCTCTTTAAAAAATCCCTTCGCATGTTAATTTGTTTTAAAATAACGCTTAAACAAGAGTAAGTATTTTAAAATATAAACCTTACTTAAACAAGAGTAAGTATTACGTTCTAGAGATTTAAATGGTGGGGTCACGAGACATCTGGACCGTCCTGTATAGCAAGGCGCAGCAGCTGTGTTAGTAAAGTCAAGTTGGTCATTAGGGGGCCGTCCATAAATGACGTCACGCGATTTTTGACGATTTTTGACCCCCCCCCCACCCCCTCGTCACACGGCGTCACAAAGTCAGACCCCCCCCCACCTCAAATATGACGTCACAAAGCTCTGCCCCCCCCCCCCCCCAAAAAAAAATACATGCTTCAAATCGATTTAAACTATTGTCATTGTAGTGCGTATTTAATGTGGCGCTGCACTCTGATGTTGTAGAAGAAAACATCAAAAAGTCTAATTAAGTAGAACGTGTTGTCTATATTCATTTAAAGTTGCGCATTTTGATGTGACGTCACATTTCTCACCCCCCCCCCCCTCAACACACATCGTCACAAATGTCTGACCCCCCCCCCTAGGTGCGTGACGTCATTTATGGACGGCCCCTTATCAGTTGAAATTGCCCTCCCCCCCCGCACCCCCCTCTGAAAACTATGAAGAACACTGCCATAAATGTACGCAGCCTAAAATAAGTTCCTATTGCAACGTGCCCAACATCAGAGCGTGGCAGGGTGTGCGAGGGTGGTGCCGCATAGTGAAACGTCATATGTCACGTGAACAGACGTAACATCACGTGGCGTTGTGATGTCATAAAGTGCATTAAATGTTTACCTCTTGTCTGCGGGTCTCTCTCGCTTTCTTCCCACAAATATTTCGTTCTTATCTCTCTCTTTAACCTCGCTAATCTTTGTTGTCTAGACATTTCTCAACTCCCTTGTTCATTTCTATTTCCCCCAAATCTGTATCACCTCGAGCCATATCTCTCAGCGGGACCGTGTATGTATTGATGTATGTTGAACTTCTTTTTTCGCACCGTATGTAGCCAACGGGGCTAAGCGGAGGTGCCGTATAGCTTCGCGGGGCCTTTTACAAGAGCCTTCGCTAGGCCCGATGGGACCCGGAGGCCGTCTGTTGAAGAATTCCGGTCCAAAGGCTTTACCAGGGGGACCTTGGTGTGTGTGTGCGTGTGTGCGTGTGTGTGCGTGTGTGTGTGCGCCACTCAGGCAGGCGGCGATGGAGGTGGCACAGCGGTACTGCTCCACCGAGCTGGAGAGCTACGCTCAGTGCGTGGCGGCCAACCCGAGCACCTGGGGAGTCAAGTGCCACGACCTCAAGGCCCAAGTATCCAAGTGCACCAGCTCGCAGTACGTGCGCGCCCAGGTCCGCCAGAAGTGCTGCCCGTTTAGCACAAGGCTTGGGTGCTCATGTTATTTAGATTTATATAGCGCCTTCTGCCAAGGCTTGACAACAATTATACGATTGTACGTAAGATGATAGTGTTTGAAATAAAGAGGGGGTGGGGGGTGTGTTATTAAAAGTGGTGGTGACTACTGATGAGCAGAGTTGGCTGTGTAAGGTGTGGAAGGAGTGAAACCCGGTGGCAGGTGGGAGTGGTTAAGGAGGGGTTGGGGTAGTGATAGGGGTTGGGGTAGGCCTGGTCCTCGCTGGGAGGCAGGGGTAGGGAGTAGCAGTAGGATGGGCTTGGGAGAGAGAAGAGATGGGGTTGAAGGGAGGAACAGAAGATGATTGTTTCATGTGCAAGATGATTGTTTTATGTAACTGGGCATAGATGACTCCGTGGTGTGATAATGGGCAGAGGTGACACCTCTGGAGGATGGATCGCTCCACTTGAGAATCCAGTTTAATATGCTACAATGTTCAGTAGTAAAGCATTGTTCATGAAGATTACGGTGATGTGTATTAAGCCTGGGCGGGTGGAGTGCTGGCGCGGTGGTTAGCGTACTGCGCTGTGAACCCAGCCAACATTAGTTCGCTTCCTGGCTATGGCTAACAGGGCCCAGTGATATCTAACCAGTCCTGGGCATCCGTTTCATTCACGAAACCCGCTTTGACCAATGTGGTGAAGTATGGTCAAATAACCCCATGGCCATTACTGCATGGGGAGACCTTTATCCAGCAGTGGATTAACAATAGTTCTACTGGACATCTATGGAAAAAAACTTCGTAGCATATCCGATTCTTCAGTATAAATACAGTAAAACCTTGGATTGTGAGCATAGTTCGTTCCGTAAACGTGTTCGTAATCCAAAGCACTCGTATATCAAAGCGAATCTCCCCATAAGAAATAATGGAAACTGTATTCATATAAAAATTATTAATACAAAATACCTTTTTACATTTTTATTATTTAAATTTAATATAAAGTAATCAAATGTATTAATTAAATTTAATCGTGGCTGGTGTGAGGGAGACGAGAGAGAGGAGAGGAGGGTTATTACAGTTACTAAAGAACAGTCACTACACTTGGACACAAAATTTTAAAAATACTTTACGCACACACACGTGGTCACAACACTACAGTAAACAGTCTACGCTCGCACGGATGTTGACTATACGAGTGGGGCACGCCGACTGAGAACGAGCATGGGAGACGATTACCCACAATCCCGTAGCGAGAGAGAGAGAAGAACCATCGGCTCAGTTGTGATCACGTGACGCTCGGCAGACAAAGCGTATACTGTACGTACTGCTCGTATTGCAAGACCTCGCTCGTTTATCAAATTAATTATTTAACATTTTTCTCGTCTTGCAAAACACTCGCAGATCAAGTTACTCGCAATCCAAAGTGTTACTGTAAACTGATTGTGAATAGCCTGTAAATGATTATGTTTGGCCTCTATAGCTGAATACACTGTATTCTTGGGTTTTTCGGTAAAGTCACGTAGGTAAAAAATTAAAATTTAAATTAATAAAAGTAAAAATAAAATTACTTGCTTGATACAGCAAGCGAGCTGTGACGGTTCCACCTGAAGACGGAGGCTTGGGTTGCCTCGGAAACGTCGTGATTTTTATTTTAGTTTTATTTTACTTTTATAAATTTAAATTTTTTACCTACGTGACTTTAACGGAAAAAAACCCAAGAATATGAATCCTTGCAGTCACGCAAGCTTCAAATCTAGAACTGAATACACTGCTCAGTGTATTCCAGGTACAGCCATGGTGAGCTACCATAGCCACTCGCATACCACTTGTGTACACCTTAGGCCCCCGGATGTAGTTGAGTGGGAACCCATGCACGTCGTTCGCTGTTCGCTGACCCTTCTCCCCCCCCCCTCCCTCTCCGCGCCTCTGTCAGCCCCGTGGTTCGTAAGATCCAGGCGGCGTGCGCCAGCGAGTTCGGCGCGTTTGAGACGTGCCTCAAGGAGAACGCGTCGGCCGTGCTGCGCTGCTCCTCGCACATGAAGGGCTTCCTGGCGTGTGCCGAGCGTGTCGACACTGGCCTGCCCATCGCCGGCGTGGCCCAAAGTACTTGCGGTAAAATGAAAAAAATATGCAGTGACACCCCGATTTATGTACGTATGTAGAACTTCTTTCGCACTGCACGTGGCTAACCGTGTTCATCGGAGGTGCGGTACTCGTGCTATGGTACCAGTACTATTAGTTTGACTAGGTTGTTGGGGGCAGCAGCGGCCCCGGCACGGCTCTGCCTCAGGGCAGCATCGGGGAGGTGTACATGTTTGGGAGGGGCTCATCTCTGCTTGGATGTTTGCTCGCGGTCACGTGACGCACTTAAACCAATCCGTGGCGCGTTAATCACAGAATGAAATAAATAATGACAGAAGGACAGATCTGGGCTATTATATATGTGTATGCTACCAGTAGCAGTGTTATGGTACTATGGAAGCAGTGCTATAGTACCAGTGCTATCGTACTAGCGTACTCAACTTACGATACCCAATCCCGTTTCACGTTTCTGTACCTCGCCTTAACGCGCTCGAGATTTTACGAACTTAACCGCTAAGCCGCACATTTCTTTTTTCGCTCCACAGCGAACCATTCGGGCGCCAGATGCCCTGAGCCGCTCAAAGCATTGGGGTCCCTTACTGGCTTCAGTCTCTTGATGTCTACGCTTATAAAAAAAATTCCCCCGCATACTGTATTCATGACGGCTATTTTATATAATTGTAAAAAAAATAATTATACGATACACAATAATAATGCGTATAGTAGAATAGACTTGGTAATAATATATCAATGATATACACTTTTTAAACCTGATGGTTGGGCAGTATAGATGCGCAATGGGTTACTGAGCATCCTCTGTGTAGGGTACCGTACTGTACCACGTTAAGATTCGCCAAAAATGCTTCGATTGAAGTATTTTCGATTGATGTGCTGGTTTTCAGGAACGCATCCTGGGTGTAAACCGGTATATGCCCGTATATTATACTATAATAATAATAATAAAAAGTGTCAGTTTTGTTGCCAGATAAAAGGGTAAAACAAAACAATTATCATATTTTGCTACTGGCAAAGGAGGTTCCAATGGTGTAAATTTTTACCCCGAGCTCTCATACTCTGATGGTGCATTGTCTTTAAACTATTATCATATTTTGTTACTGGCAAAGGAGGTTCCAATGGTGTATTATACTAGTTCATACAACCAGTCTTCGCCAGGCAACATTTTTCAATAAACATAATGAACCTGATATTATTTTTTACTATTTTTATCTACGATCAGACACTAACAACTACTCAAAAAATGTGCATTTTTCAATAAACATAATGAACCTGATATTATTTTTTACTATTTTTATCTACGATCAGACACTAACAACTACTCCAAAAATGTGCATTTTTCAATAAACATAATGAACCTGATATTATTTTTTACTATTTTTATCTAAGTTCAGACACTAACAACTACTCCAAAAATGTGCATTTTTCAATAAACATAATGAACCTGATATTATTTTTTACTATTTTTTATCTACGATCAGACACTAACAACTACTCCAAATATGTGCATTTTTCAATAAACATAATGAACCTGATATTATTTTTTACTATTTTTATCTACGATCAGACACTAACAACTACTCCAAAAATGTGCATTTTTCCGCAAGAAAAGCTTAAATTGTTGACGACTTGATTCAACTTCTTATATTTAAAGACATACTCATCGGAAACCTCTTAATTTTAAGATTCCATTTTTTATTTGAAAGAAAAAAAATTATCAACTTAATACTCTGTGACGGGAAGCTCCTATCATTACCGTTTTCGAATTATTCAGATTTGAACATCATAAAATGCGTTTTTTTGTTTCCTTCAAAACCCCTTTAATCCAAAATATCTCAAAACAATAAAAGATAGAACAATAGTTTTAGCTTTAATTTTATTTTCTGTTTAACGTTCTAACAAACGAAAAAGCCCACAATCTTATATTTTGAACGGTTTCTGAATGACATGCACCAACATGTTTTTTTGGGCACTTAATATCGAGATTCGGGGGACTTAAAATGAAAAATCTCGGATTTTCAGATTGTTCCTGTTGTCTAAAAGCCACCTCTGTACCACATTTAAGCTTTCTACCTTGTCGGGAAGTACCTCAATACAGATTAAGGTCTTTATATAGATATTTATATAGATATGCAGCAACGCAATTGTCATCTTTATTCATTCCTTAATCACCGGTTATGCTAGCCTCTGTGTTGGGCACCAAAAGGCAGTGTGGTAAAATGCGCTGTTGTACTGTACTTCAATGCCTCCAAGCCTGTGGCTCCCTTGCTTCACCAACGCACACTGGCCAGCGTGGTGTAGTATGGTCAAGTGACCCACGTTGCCTGCCGCTGTGAGGAGGAGGCTCGTCTTACATCGGTGGATCGATAAAGGGTTTTTAGTTTGTTGTCCTTCCCCCCGCACCTTCGACTAGCACGGTTGGCTACGTACGGTGCGAACAACGACTCGGTCTAGTGGCGGCACGCACGGTGAGCATTAGTGCAGACCTGATGCTAAAGACTTGAGCTTGTTTGTGCACTCTGTGCAAGCCAACCCTCTCAACATGTCGCCTACACCGACATCAAGAAGTAATAGAAAGGGACTGAAGTACGAATCCCTTCGTCTGCGAGGAGACAAATCCAAAGTTTCGTATTGAATTGATGCGGGAGTGTCGACGCGTATGGTGCGTGAAGAGTTTGGAAAACAAATTTTGAAAAGAAATGCACGATTGTACATAATTCGGAATATTGGATAATTCGGCAAGGTCAGAGCCACATATGTTTTGAATTAACAAGGCTTTAATGTACATATGTAAATGTACTGTATGATCAGCTGTAGTTGTATATATTTCATAAGCATGCTAATTTCACAAGTTGCTCATATGCTTCGAAATGGACTCTGGAGTTCCTATTACGGTGAACTCTACTCAATGATTCCTACATCCGTATTGAGAACTCATCTGTACCGCGTTCAGCCAGTCTCATGCTGCAGGTGAAAATACTTTTCTCTGCTCCGCTTCGCTCGAACTGCCCGACTTTTCCCAAAGCTATGCAATTACAGAGACATTTTCGTAACTCGTATCGATTACAACTTTAAAAGTCGCCGCTTGTTACTGGCCTCTTGGCGTTGTTGGGCCTTCGGTGCCTGCGCACAGCAACTGCGATGATACAAAATAAGTCGGCACGAGATGGAATATACGGTACATCAAACGCGTGCAATCGCCAATTCTGCTTTGAGTTTATGATGTGTTTTTTTTCTCTCTCCGTTTTTGTTAATGCCCCTTAACCCCCTGTCTCTCTGCAGAGAAAAGCTGATTCAGATGCGCTTGCAAGAGCTCGGGGTCCTTGGGAACGGTTTGTGAAGGCATTTCTGGAGACCTTGAACACGAAACTGTACCCAGCGCAGCTTGCAGAGCATTTCTGGGAGGCGCTGTAATGTTTTTTTTGTTTTAATAAAAATGACAACGCTCCGATAAGAATCTTGACGTGCGGTGCTAATGTCTTTATAAATAGCAGCGTGTTTTTGCAAATTATGAATTTGCGGGACCAGGCTAATTCTCAAATATTTCATCGCAATATTTAAATGGGGGGGGTGGGGGGTCTGGATATCCCAGTGTGGATATTGTTCGACTTTCTTTGGATTCATTCGGTATAAATGTGTTTGGAGTTAATAAAAAGCAAAAGCCAAAAGCCAAAGCTTGGACAATTTTACTGTCATCAGAGTATCTTTACGAAAGATAAATCCGACATTGGCTCAATGTTGAAATGTTAAACGCAAGTCACGACATACGTAAAAGCTCTCAAAAATAACGTCATCATTTTGGAATGTGTATTTGTTGTTCACCAAAATTAGATTAGTCCCAGTGCCTTTACCTCAGTAAAAAAACAGTTTTTCACTATAAATCCTTTATATGCGTGGCATCGGGTTTATTTTATTATTCATTTCTGTTTTTCTTGAGTAAGAGTTTAATTTTTATTACATTGGTATTTTAAATTAAATCTGAAAAATTTTTTTTCCTAAAAAGTGGAAAATTTTGGAAAAAATTTTTCACGAAAATTAATTGTCACGCACAACGAGTCTGTGTGCAAAATGTCAGCTCGATTGGATCACGGGAAGTGAGTTAAAAAACGACCGAAAGATTTGCACGGTCGTAAGCAAGCACGCAAGCACGCAAGCAAGCAAGCAAGCGAAATTAATATAAAGGATTAAAAAAAACCAAAATAAACATTCATCTTCTATAACAATGTCTTAAGAAAAAGGTATAATAAGTGAAATATCTGGCTGGGGTCCTTCACAGCACATAGGCCAGAGCGGTAGAGTTGTGTATCGTATTGGTTGAACTAATTCTCACTACTTTTCAGGCCTTTCTACGTACTCGGAGGAAGGGCTATGGCCCAAAACGATGCATATTATATACTTTTTAAAGCAGTGTTGGTGACGATTGTGTTGATACATCTGTTCTGGTTGAGCAGGTTGAGTGCTCTGAATGGTGTTGCTTGCTCCATTGCTCATTGAATCTTTATTTCGTGTCCGTCCGTCGTTACCTTTACGTAGAACAGGACAAATGCCTTTTCAGAGACAGTATTAAGCGTTTCAAGTGAAAATGCCCCTCTTTAGTTAAAAGCAGAATAAATGTACGGGGATGCAAATCACTCACGACGTTCTGTGCAACGGGCCAATGTTTTCATCATGCAGTAATCACGATATCGATTTCGATTTAAAGCTTTCGTGACTGCAGGGATTCATCGTCTTGGTTCTTTCGGTAAAGTCACGTCTTTCCGACAGCCCTGTTCTTCACCTGAGGATGGCTGCTTGCGTTGTGTGCCGAAACGTCGTGAGAATTGTATTTTATTATGTTTTATTTTTATTATTTTATTATTTCCCTTCTACGTGACTTTACCGAAAGAACCAAGAAGATTGATATCGATGTTTCATTTGTGGAACTATGCCCAAATGTAGGTTATTTGTTGTTTGATGAAGTGCTTATCTTTCGATTTAAAGCTTTCGTGACTGCAGGGATTCATCTTCTTGGTTCTTTCGGTAAAGTCACGTAGAATGTTTTATTTTTATTATTTTATTATTTCCATTCTACGTGACTTTACCGAAAGAACCAAGAAGATGAAGTGCTTATCGTGATATTTTTAACTTGATTAATTTTTTATCCATGCGATGCTAAAAAATGCATGGAAACGAAATCTTAAAACAGATGCTGTAATTGCGTAACTGAATTTTGGGAAATGTTTTTTGACGGCAACCGAAAACTCTGCAAAGTAGTTGAAAACCAGGCACGTGCATTGCTGTGTTGATTGCAAATACTTTCTTACAATACTTGCATCGAATTACGGGCGAGAATCGCCCGTGTCAAGATGTACGCAAATGATGTGCAAATGTTACATTGAGACGAGTGGAGGATCGAATTTGTGATCCTGGATCATGACGATTAATCGGATGACGCGGGAGGGGGTGAGAGTGAGTGGTGACGCATCTGTTTAAAACCACACGACTTTATGTTGGCGCTGCCGTGATGAATTTTCGACTCGTTTGAAGGTGCCTTACCTCCCACTGCCCCATGTCCTCTGTGATTAAATAAATTAAAACTGTTGTATCGACACATTGCTCATACACAGATTATTTTTCTTATTTAACGTCTGTGTAGCGGTGTATTTAAACTCGATGGACTCGAATAAACAAATGAATGCGTTGCATAAAAATACTCGATTGTGGAATTTTTATTTTGTCAAACAGACTTTTTAAATAATCGAAACATTCTAGATTTGAAGCTTTCGTGACTGCAAGGATTCATACTCTTGAGTTTTTTCGGTAAAGCCACGTAAGTAAAAAATGAAATTAAAATTTATGAAAGTAGTAATAGAAATAAAATGATAATAAAAAATCACGACGTTTCGGAGGCAACACAAGTCTCCGTCATCAGGTGATGACGGTCCCACCTGATGACGGAGACTTGTGTTGCCTCCGAAACGTCGTGATTTTTTATTATTTTATTTCTATTATTACTTTTATTAATTTTAATTTAATTTTTTACCTACGTGACTATTAAGAGTATAATCGAAACGTTGTTTAAGAATATTGCGTGAATGCAGTGTGCCGTAATTACAACGTACTTTGACCTCCAACACACAACCCTAGTTGGACACACAACTGAACATCGCGATGCGTGGCCATCTCGGGTACACTGAAGTCGACGCCGAACCAGTGGAACAGCGGCCGTCCGGGAGTTCCAAACAAATTCTCGTAAAACCCCGCACCTTCCGATACATCGGGACATGAACCCGGTTGCCGCCTGTTCGCCTAAAGTCACGCCACCCCTTCTGGATCACAGCAGCGGCCCTCACTCCACGCCACCAAATAAAAACAAATAAAGGCGAGAGGTGGAAGCGAGAGTCTGGACTGCGGCCGACGTTAAGAATCTACATCTCGTACAGCCAGTGCCGGATGAAGCTATTGCGGGGCCTGTAGCAAATGTTAAAAGGGGCCCTAAATAAAAAAAAACACAAACATTAAAACATAAATTTGTAAGTTGCATAGTAAAGTAATTGTATTTTTTAATTGGCTATACAGCCAGATAACCTTAAACACCCAGTCGTTCATCAAAGTTGAAGGCAGTATAGTACTATAGTAATAGAGCAAGTGCAAAATCGCTTAACCGGAATTGATATCTTGAAAGCATTTAGCGTGGTGGCCCTTGGAAGTGCGGGGCCAGTAGCGTTATGTAGCTACTTGTGCCACCAGGATCATCTCCAGCACTGCGTACAGCGAACCTACCGTCGAACCTCGATGTTTTAAACCCATCACGCGGCCACTGGTAGACCATCAACCGAATCTGGACCGCGCATGGCCAACCGACGGCGCATCGAAGATTCGCCACCGAATCCCAAGCCACCGACCGCCGCTGTCTTCACCCCTTCGACGGAGGAACGGACGAGATCCACTCCCCGCGCCTGAGCAGACAACCGAATGGATAGCGACATCTAAAATGACATCTTTAATTTGCTGCTCTTAATCCACGCGAAAGAGGACGACGAAGGGGTAACCTTTGTGCGACATTTTCGCCGCACGTAGTTTCTCCGTCAGCGTTACCAGCCAACTGCCGACGGAGGGCGCTACAATCTCGCCCTTCCGCCGACACGGGGCCACCACCGCCCGAGTACGAGATGGGAGTTGAGCAACAAATGAAAGTGCCAAGCACAAATGACCCTTTCTTTGGCAAAGCGCGCCTTTTTTGTTTTAAATATTGGCCTCGCAAAGCGAATTGAAGCATGTTTTATTATTTTTGGGGGAGGGGGAGGCAGAGCTTTGTAACGTCATATTTTATGGGGGTCTGATTTTTACTGACGTCGTGTGACGATAGGGGGGGGGGGGGGTGGCAAAAATTGTACAAAATCGCGTGACGTCATTTATGGACGGCCCCAGAAGGGGGGGGGGGTCGTCCTGGGAACAGCCCTCTAGCCTTTGCCCTTCTGCTAGCAGTGGCGTGAGTAAGCAATTTTTATTTTACAGGTGGGGGGGGGGGGGGGCTTCCGTCTCCGCGTGTATTTCGTGTCTCGTGGAGCCGTTCTCTCAATTGTATTCGGCGGGGGCGACCGAGCCGAGGTGTCGGCAGGCGAAGCGAGGTCACGTGGGGGGCACGCCCCTCCTCCCTCTCGCGAGGGGGGGGGGGGGCAGCTTTGTCACCGCAAGCGGGCGACGGCGAGCGGATGTCGATAATTAATAATCCATAATCGAGGTTCGGTGTTTTTGGGGGGTGGGGGGGGTTGGATCGCGTGAGTTTACAAATGTGTCGTTGAACCCGCCACCACCCGACACAGCCAATCTGTAAGGGGGTTGTCACGTGAAACAAAACGTGGCAATTCGTCACTAATACAGCACACCGGTGCGTGGATGTTGTTGTGGGTTTACTCTCCAACGCAGCGGTGTGCTGTGCCAGTAACGAATTGGCCACGTTTTTGTTCACGTGACAATCCCCCTTACTAAATTTCGATTTAAAGCTTTTGTGACTGCAGGGATTCATCTTCTTGGTTCTTTCGGTAAAGTCACGTAGAAGGGAAATAATAAAATCATAAAAATAAAACATAATAAAATACAGTTGTGAGAATAATAAAAATAAAACATAATAAAATACAATTGTGAGAATTGTATTTTATTATGTTTTATTTTTATTATTTTATTATTTCCCTTCCACGTGACTTTACCGAAAGAACCAAGAAGATGAACCCCCTTACTAGTTGGCCGTGTCGGGTGGTGGCGGGTTGAACGACACATTTATATATTTACGCGATCTCACCCAGCAGACCTCTAATATGTATAAGCCTGCTACGTGTTAGTTCGGATACCGAGACACTGGACAGCACTTCGTGGATCTCCACCCAGTGGCGTCGCGGTATTGGAGGAGTGCAGGCGGTGCAACTGCACTTTGGGCCCCCACGGGTCTGATGTGGGGGGTTGGGGGGGCTGCCCAGGCGGGTGACGGCTTTGGTGTCCGCGTGACGGGGTTTCTCCCTTGACCGGGTGGTGTTTGTGCACAGTTGCAGCAGCGAACTAAAACTATTTAAAAGTATTTTTTTAGTTTAACACGTAAGCTTTCGCGACCAATGTTATTCATAATCAACGTTTTTGGGTTTAGATCGCGTTATTTATAAATGTGTCGTAACCCTCCACCACCCGACACGGCCAATCAGTAAAAAAGTGTCACGTTGACAAAGACAAATAGTTCACTGCTTTAGCCCACCGGTGTGTTGAAGCGTGAAACCACAACATTTACAAAAAAATTGTAAACAACATTTACCAAAAATTGTAAATGTTGTGGTTTCACGCTTCAACACACCGGTGGGCTAAAGCAGTGAACTATTTGTCTTTTGTCAACGTGACACTTTTTTACTGATTGGCCGTGTCGGGTGGTGGAGGGTTACGACACATTTATAAATAACGCGATCTAAACCCAAAAACGTTGATTATGAGTATTTTTTTAGTTTGCGAGGTAAGGCCCACTGAGCCATGTCGCTCTTTTTCACAAATGACCTGGCCACAAATGATAGCTCAACGAAGTGGCTCGTGATCACGTGGAAATAAATGTATAGCAGCCGAATACTCGAAACGAACGATGTTGATTCGAAACGTGGAGGGGAACAAAAAAAACAGAGGCCCCGGAGAAAAAAAATCCACGCGACCACGGGGAGAGAGAGAGAGACACGCAAACTCCAAATATACAAAAGGCGTCAGGGTCGAGACCGAACCCACGACCTCCTGCATACCAGGCGCGGTAGTTAACATCTCTCCACCGTGGCAGCAGCAGCAGGGTCATTAATCAAAGTCTCCAAAGCGGCACCACCGCCGCTGCCGCGCGCTTGCACAGAGGGAGCTGCACGGGGAGATCGCGTGCTGCAGTTTGCCTTTGGGCCAAGACGTGCTGCTACTTAGCAGGTATGTGCAGAGCCTCACTCGCTCTGTCTCGTTGAGAGTGTGTGCCTGTGTATGTGCGTGTGTGTGTCTGTGTGCATGTGCGTGGCTGTGTGTGCATGTGTGTGTCTGTGTGTGTGCATGTGTGTGTTTGTGCATGTGTGTGTCTGTGTGCCTGTGTGTGTGTGCATGTGTGTGTCTGTGTGTGTGCATGTGTGTGTGCGTCTGTGTGTGTGTCTGTGTGTGTGTGCCTGTGCCTGTGTGTGTGTGCCTGTGCCTGTGTGTGCGTGCATGTGTGTGTCTGTGTGTGTGTGCATGTGTGTGTCTGTGTGTGTGCCTGTGTGTGTGTGCATGTGTGTGTCTCTGTGTGTGCATGTGTGTGTCTGTGTGTGTGCATGTGCGTGTCTGTGTGTGTGCATGTGTGTGTCTGTGTGTGTGCATGTGCGTGTCTGTGTGTGTGCATGTGTGTGTCTGTGTGTGTGCATGTGTGTGTCTGTGTGTGTGCATGCGTGTGTCTGTGTGTGTGCATGTGTGTCTGTGTGTGTGCATGTGTGTGTCTGTGTGTGTGCATGTGTGTGTCTGTGTGTGTGCATGTGTGTGTCTGTGTGTGTGCATGTGTGTCTGTGTGTGTGCATGTGTGTGTCTGTGTGTGTGCATGTGTGTGTTTGTGCATGTGTGTGTCTGTGTGCCTGTGTGTGTGTGCATGTGTGTGTCTGTGTGTGTGCATGTGTGTGTCTGTGTGTGTGCATGTGTGTGTCTGTGTGTGTGCATGTGTGTGTCTGTGTGTGTGCATGTGTGTGTCTGGGGAGCGGTAGTGCAACGGTGAGGGCGCTGCGCTCTACGAACTCGGCGACCCGACATCAGTGTGACGAATATTTGAACCGATCCTGGGCCTCCCCTAGGTCCACTCAGCCTCGAAAGAGCACCTGGTGCGGTGATTAAACATCGACAATAGGGAGACAAAGGCGGCCGGGCGTGGTACTGGCCACCAACCCCCCTCGTGTGCCGTGCCGGCCTTCATAGGTGCTCACTTACAGCACTTGCCCCAACACTCTGTTAAGGCTGTATGGGAGATCTTTGTCTTTGTGTGTGTGTGTGTTTAACGTGTGTGTGTGTTTAACGCATATCAGGACACGTACTGATGTGGGGAATAAAGCGCAAACTTGGACTTGGACCAAGATGTCTCGAGTGAGATGT